AAAAGTATACATACTTATTTATACAGCATTTATATAATAAAAAATCACGAATTTAATAATAAATTTAATAAATCGAAATGTTAATAATCGTAAATTTTTATTCATTGTCGGTAATGTCATCGTTTAATTACCTCTGGGGCTCCATTAATAGTCACGAAAATTGCATTCATCAGTAATAAATGAAATACTTGGAAAAAATTTTAAAATATTTGTTACACTTATGAAAGCTATAAATAACATCATTATTTAAATTTATTTTGTCGTAAAATTTATTTAAAGATCGTTATACATATATAATGTATTCAACATTGTGAGTCCACTAATTGCGCATGATTGGTCATGAAGTCGTTATTATAGCTATATTTCGGCGGATAAGTTCGCAGCAATGAAATATAATATGCATCGTTTTGATAATTTCATTATGATTATTAAAACAACAAGAAATGTGTATGATTTCGTAAAGGCGCAGTCAGATAACCTTCCTAAAGCTTTTACAGGAATGATTACTGACTATTTCATGAATAATGAATGTTATAATGTAGATGAATCAAGTGGAGATAAAAGATAAAATAGTCAATGTTATCCTTGTAGAAAAGTATTAGGTGTAGTAAAAAGAAATCCATTATTTTTCCATTCAATTTTATGCAAAAATAATGGATTTCTTTTTATTACTGAGCATTAGGAGTATTTTGAGACACTATAGCACTACTGTATTACTACATTACTATAGTAGTGCAGAATGAGTAGTGCTAAGATATTCTATCCGCGGTGCAGCAAGATACTAAATACAGGAAATATACATAACAGAAACTAACTATTAATAACTCTATTTAAAACAAAACTTTCAGAGACTCTACGAGCACACTTTAATCGAGCTGAGAGTAAGTGATGGATTTCATTTACATACGCTTCCTTATAGGGATCCGCGTTATTTTCTCTATGAAAAACGAGTCCATCTTACGGCGGTACTGCGTATTACATCGCTTGCTTGGCGGCGTCTATAGCGTACATATAATCTGCAGTACGCATAATACGCAATATCGTCGTGAAATGGACTCGTTTTTCATAAGAAGAAGACATGAATCCCTATAAAATGCAGTAGTACCCAGTAATAGTGTAGTACAATAATGCCTCAAAATACTCTTAGTGCTCGTATTTGATATAGTTTATTAACTACTCTTGTAGAAAAGTAATACTTTTTTACAAGAGTAGTTAATAAACTATATCAAATACGAAATCAATAGTAATTTGTCTAAATTTGATAATAATTGTATGTATTTTTCTTTATTCAGAACGCTCAGTACGTAACCTTTAAAACCTAATCTATCAAAATTCTCAAAACTCATGTTCTTTATTGCAAATCAGAATGACCAAATTATGATGATTCTGCAATCAGAATATAAGTTATTAATATAAAATAAGTTAGTTATTGAGTTAGTTATATTAATGCATATATTGTATAAATATATATAAGATCCAGCCGAATAATATGTAAAAGTCGATACGAGATAATTTTTTATGAAAAAGTAAAAAAAATATATAGAATAAAATTTTTCAATTTTCTGCTTAGTTTTCGAAAAAAATTGAATTTGAAAATCCGCTGCGTACGTATACTGTTATGATTTAGCTACGATTCGTCGAGCGATGTATAACACGTATGTTTATAAATAATATTTACACGGAATCTAAAAGCTATTAGATTTAAAGAAAAACTCAAAGAAAATTTTTAATGAACAAAATTTTATTTTATCACTTACAGTATTGCTGAAACTTGTCGGATACATAACTGTTCCCGCCTAATTATCGATGCCTGAATCCCCAACGTATTTTAGTTTTTTAATTGCTCAAACACTAATCGATTGCTTATGTACAATTTTATAATTTAGTTAGTTAATTATTCTTAAAAGATTCTTGAAGATTTGTGAACGCTGCAGCGAGTTATCACAGCATTAATAATGTCCAATGTGTGATGATAAATATGAAGTATATTGAATGCTCTTATTCTTCTGACCTTTTCTATATATATATGCGAAGACTTGCGAGTTTCCAACAGTTCATGTTTTGAAAGTTTTTTTTTTCTATCGCGATACACTTGGTGATCGTATTATTTATACATTTTTTCTTCTGTAACATATGATCAACATGCTTGAATCTTCGATCCGCCATAACAGCACAGTCATCCGGAAGCTTCTGTAAATACTAACTTTTTTCTACTGTTACAGCATCATCCATCAAAACCTTCCAATATAAAATTAATATGATCATTGGGTGTTGCAGAAATTAAATATTTCAAGGTGTTGTATTCCTATTAAGTAACGCTTTGATATATCGGATTTGTTGGTTTTTTTTTAATTTCAATTTCAAGGCAATCTATTGTTGATTTACATTATACATTTACATTAATATTTGCAATGAAATTCTCTTAGCAAATTTCATCATATTGATACGCACTAGGCAGATTAACCCTCCGCGAAACATAAGGGGGGGGGGGGGTGTGACATATCCCAATAAAATAAATTTCTATAACTTTTTAAAAAGTACTGCGCGCATATTGCCGGTTTCATGTAACTGAAGAGTGAATTGTACCAATCATACTAAATTATAATATATTCATGATAAAATACAGCATGGAGCATGAGATACATTCACATATGATCCATATTGATTTTCTACCTGGTTCGCAGAGGGTTAATTTTTTTAAATAAAGGGCTTACACTGATAAAGTCTGATGAAATATGGTACAGACATTAGTTGCACTAAGTCTAAAACTATCATCTAAACGAGAAAACGTGTTTAATTTAGTCTCGATAAAGTTAAATAAATGCCACGAATGTTGATGTTTGTTTTTTCAGATAATAAATTTTTATAATGAAAAATCCATTAGTTGGAATTCCAATACACATTTTTTTGGTTTTTCTTTTGCCAAGAGCAAATGTCTTTCTAATGCTTCTTTTAAATAATATTTTTTCTGTAACATCTCATTATTAGTTTCTTCAAAGGATAAAAATTCTTCACACATCTCAAGTGTATTGTTGAGGGATGATGTTTTTGTTACTGTTGAGTTTGATGTACTAATAATATTATTACTGATTTTCAAAATTTTTGTAAAACATTGAGTATCTGCCGTGGTTGGTCTGCAATCAATTACTTTATTTCATACATCAACTTTGTCTTGTCTTTGAATGAGTTTGTGATGTTGATTAATTCTATCTGTTTGCAATTTTCTATTCTTGAATGTAAGTTATCGGTAGTTGAATTCCTTCCATTCCTAGAGATTCAGGTTCTAATTCTAAAATATTATGAGACTGTGTAATAATTTCCTCGACTTTGGCAATGATTGTGGCTTTGTCTGTAGTTTCGTCTGTGGCTTCGACTGTGACTTTTGCAGTTTCACAGTTCTCTTCCAAAACTACATCATCTGTAATTTGCTTCCTAATTTCTGGATTCTTTTTCTCAAGCGAACATTTCACTTGGCGCAAGCACTTGGAGCAAGCAGAATCCGAGTGTATTATAATTTTCCAAATCCTTCTGCAACTATGTTATAAAACTATGTTATAAATTGTTCAAATATAACTTGAATACAATGAATTTGTGTGTGTGTGTGTGTGTGTGTGTGTGTGTGTGTGTGTGTGCGCGCGTGCGTGCGTGCGTGTGCGTGTGTATGTGTGCGTGTGCGCGCGCGCGCGTGTGTGTGTGTGTGTGTGTGTGTGTGTGTGTGTGTGTACACAGGGTGTCTCGAAAGTTTTTTGCCAATCGCTTATATGTAGATAGAGCGGACTAAACTGAATCCAAAAGTCTTCTACTATTTTCGTAATAGTTAACAAGATATTAATTACTAAAAATTGCCAAATATTGGTCTTGAATAATTTTTTACTCAAATATTATCAACTCAAATACTTTATAGAAAAACTGCAAGAGACAAAAATTATTTATTTTCTTCTCATAGAACTCTAAGAATTTTTTCAGAATTTTTTATCAATTTTTTAGTGCATTTTCTTATTTTTATCAACATGAAAAAATACAATATTAAAAATTTCTGAAAAAATTCTCAGAACTTTATTCAGTTTAGTCCGCTCCATCTACATAAAAGCGATTGGTAAAAACTTTCGGGACACCCTGTATATATAAAACATATACATAATAAATAATAACTTACATTAAAATAATCTCCGCAGCAGTATAAAGCTGAGTAAAAAATTCTCGCCCATCGCTTCTTATAAGCAATTGCTTTCTTGCTTCACCTTTTGGCACTGGTAAAAATCTTTGCAAGTGCACTAATAATTGTATTTCCACATTCGCGGAAAAAAAACAAGATTTATAATACTATTTTAAATTACAAAGCGCTACGGTCTGAATGTTAAGATATTGAACTATTATATTCATTTAAATGAATTAATTTCAGAAATTATAATTGCGTGCCAATATGATTGTCGGACTAAAGATTTATAACATTTCTTTGCATTTTTTTATTCTAATATCTTGTGTATATATTGGAATGACACTTGAAGACAATTTTAAGGTTAAACATGACGAAAATAAGCAAATATAATGTAATGGATGCGGCGATGAGATTGATCAATTACCGATGGCTAATAATGACGTCATACGTCATTATTTTCGGACCTTTTCGGGCGAAAAAATCTGGTTTAAATATGACAATTTTTGATATTAAAATTAGAAATATGCATGACATATCTTTTTTATATATTTTTTTAAAAGCACATACGTGATCTAAATTATTTAATAATAATTTTTTAAAAAGTACGTTGAACCGAATTTGCCGACGAACTTTAATCGTCGATGTCTTGGCTGATTGAATTATTACAAAATACGGCTGCACTACAAAGTTGTTAAGACAAAGTTACTCAGGATCATGACCTTAATAATATATGTCAAGGTCATCGGAGATAGGTCTCCTAATGTCAAGAATTATATGTATGTGTATATATATATATATATATATATATAGTGTGTATATAGATATAAATATTATAACATACTGTTGTACTTGATGACTGCAATTTGCAGAAGTCAGATCTACAATTAATCGCAGTTTCTTGGTAGCATGCGTAACATATTGTCGCTTAAATTCACGTTCTTTTGCTTTATTAGTCCATGTTAAACGTTCGTAGAGATATAAAGCTCCATATATAGTACCAATTATAGCAATTAATCTCCAACCTACTGTTTTTAACATCTAAAAAAAAACATATATTTGTGGAATCTTGTTTTCTTTTATAACTCTCTTCTCTATAAATAACAATATATATGCACGCGTGCGTGCACGCATAGAATATTCTAACTAATTTGAGAACTACTGTAACAAATTTGGGAGATTTTCCCATAAATTTGTAAATTTTTTCTTTTCACTAAGGAATTTTTGGGGACATAAAAAGTTTAAAAAAATTTTGAGAGACTTTTTAAAAGGAAAATATAAAAAAACATTCAAATTACGGATAAAACATTGAAAAAAATCTCAATATGGGGAAAACTTTCGAACAGATTTAGCAACACTGTTGAGCGCTTTGAGAAGATTCTAAACTGTAAATCGAACTCTGACGAGATTGTTGTTTTATCAACTTACACACATATAATTTAAGAAAGGATATAGCAAGATTTTGTACATAATCCATCGCCATAGGGGATAAAATAAATACTCGGCTAAAAGAATGTTCCAAGTTTTATCCCAAAAGAGCCACATAATTTCGAGATATTAAAAAAAAGCGAATTTTCATTAGTATTTTTTTCTTTGTTAAATCTAAACGGATTTTTACAAAAAAATCATGGATATAAAGAATATCAGAAAAATTAGAATAAAGAATTTTTTGTCGTTCTTGGTTCAAAATTTTATTTAAAAAAAAATTTTAAGAATTTTTAAATCGCTTTTTATATATGATCTGACTCTTTAAAAGCTCGTAGAGTAAAATGTCACTCCAAGAGATTGAAAATTAAACCTGTTTTAAAAGAATGAAAATATTATTAGTCTTGTTTAAAGCTCCTGAGTAGTCGCAACGGCCATGTTGAAATCGTGACGTAAGAAGCGGAATAACACGTTAATTTATGTTACATACATTTAATAAAAACAATTTGAATAAAACAAAATGACCAGATCACTTTAAAATATTTGTAAAAATCGATAAAAAGTGTCCTTTCCTCTCATGACAGTCAATAAATGGTCGTAAAAGGCACGTAAAATGAGTCTATATACGGGCAGAAACACACGGTCCGACAGCTGTTGAAACGAGTAAAATATACGCTTTTACATATAAAATTCCAAAGTAACTTTAGTTTTCATCGATTATTTCATCGACTTCGATAATACAAAACAAATCACATTTTCACAATTAAGCAAATAATAACGAAATATTATAGCACGCAACATAAAATTCAGCCATTTATCATGGTGCGACAATATAACACACACAATCATGAACCCATGTCCGTGTGCTCGCCTGCAACGCGACAAGAGTGAACGAGACAGCGAGCTTCTTCTCACACTACTCGCTTATTTCAAGTAATCGAAAATACTTTCTCGGTTGCTCAGTGCCCTAGGCATCAATAAGAAGCGAAGGGCATCCTAAATAACGTAGAAGTTTTAATAAATTGTAATAATAGTGTTGTGCCCCTCCCCTTAATTCAGAATAATATAAATCATATTAAAACGCAACATTTTATGAGATATTTAATTGTTTTTCATGCGCGTTAGTATACCTCTCCTTTATAAACTCAAGAGTAGCAAGAATAGATCAATAGAAGTAGAATTTTATCGGAAAAAAATTATAAACCAGCATTTCTTTTCATGAAAGTCTCGAAAAGTCATCAGAAAAGAAATGCATATGTTCGAGACTCGAGACTTGTGAAGAAAATATGCGAAAAAAAATCGAATAGTTGCAAAAACTACGCTTTTCGCTTATAAAACGAAAGATATTGATTGTATAAAAAAAAATCGGTATGAAAAAATATAAGTATTCGAAATACCTACAAAATGAAACGTGGAACATTAAAAACTTCATACGTTATTTGATATGAAGCATTAACAAAATTATTTCCATTTTTTTTTTAAAAAAGATCCACTTTTTAAAGGCGTTCTATAATAGTCTAACTGCAAAAAATCATTTTGTTATTAAGTGTAATACATACAATTCTTGAAGAAAAAAATCAAAAAAATTGCTGCAACTGCTCAAAGATGAAGAAATTAAGTTTTCCGCAGACAGATTTTTAGTGAATAAATGGCTTATTACAAAAACTAATGAACTTTTCAGGCTTGTTCAGATGCTAGATTTATTCATCATTACGAGGGCTACATTTTACAAGAATTTCAAAGCTTTGCGTTTAAATTTCAACAAACAGAGAGAGAGAGAGAGAGAGAGAGAGAGAGAGAGAGAGAAAGAGAGAGAAAGAGAGAGTAAAAAAAGATTTTTTCATCAAAAGATGTTTATTTTTTTCTACTAAATTAATAGATCGATTTTAATGTTCCACGTCTCATTTTGTAGTTATTTCGAATATCTACATTTTTTTATACCGATTTTTTTTCATACAATCAATATCTTTCGTTTTATAAGCGAAAAATGTTTTTTGCAACTATTCGATTTTTTTTCGCACATTTTCTTCACAAGTCTCGAGTCTCGAATATATGCATTTCTTTTCTGATGGCTTTTCGAGACTTTCATGAAAAGAAATACTGGTTTATAATTTTTTTCCGGTAAAATTCTACTTCTATTGATCTAATCTTGCTACTCTTGAGTTTATAAAGGAAAGGTATACTATATAACGCGCACGAAAAATGATAAACAATTAAATATTTCATTAAACTGTTGCGTTTTAACATGATTTATATTGTATTATTCAGAATTAAGGGGAGAGACACAACACTATTATTACAATTTATTAAAACTTCTATGTTATTTAGGATGCCCTTCGCTTTTTTATTAATGCCTAGAGCCACCGAGCAGCCGAGAAAGTATTTTCGGTCACTTCAAATAAGCGACTAATGTAAGAAGAAGCTCACTGTCTCGTTCACTCTTCGCGCACCGCAGGCGAACACGGACATGGGCTCATGATTGTGTGTGTTACATCGCCGCATCATGATAAATGGCCGAATTTATAGGCGTGAAAAAATGACGTTTTGACGAATTTTATGTTGCGTGCTATTTCGTTATCTTAATTGTGAAAATGTAACTTGTCTCGCATTTATCAAAGTCATAATTATCGATGAAAACTAAAGTTATCTTGGAATTTTATATGTAAAAGCATATAGTATATTTTACTCGTTTTAACAGCTGTCGGACCGTGTGTTTCTGTTCATATATAGGCTCACTTTACGTACCTTTTACGACCATTTACTGTCAAGGAAGAAAAGGACAGTTTTCATATATTGAAGGACAATTTAAAAGGACAGTTTTCAAATAGTTTAATTACATTTTTTTGGATCAGCTATTTTGAATGCGCCATCATTGACATTTCCATTTAATTAATAAAGATTCGAAGACAACTTATCTTGCAGAGTACATTCAGATCCAGATTTTGAATAAAAAATTCGATTACTGCAACCTTATGTACTACTAAATGTCGAGGACGCCATTTTAGATTCTCTATTTTATATATTAGGTGTACAACTTTGCTTCCGCCGTTTTCCTATAGATGGCTTTAGCGGTAAGTGGTGGTCGAAATAAATAGGTCATACAATAAATTTGGGCATCTGTCAACATAACCCCATAGAAACATTAGTCGATTTGTGTCTGCATCATAAAGTTATTCTCGATTGAAAATGTCAGTTTACGAGCCAAATTCTCGTCATTTGCGGGAGATTTTAATTTTTTGCTTCAATATGAAGAAATCTGCAGTTGAGGCTCATCGAATTCTCTCAAATACTTATGGTGAAGCCGCTATAGTGAAAGAACGTGTCGTGAGTGGTTTCAACGCTTGAACGGTGATTTTGATGTCGAAGACCGGCATAGCGGTGGAAGAGAGAAGGTTTTCGAAGATGCAGAATTGGAGGCATTACTTAAGCAAGACTCGTGTTAAAATCAAGAAGAATTGGCACGATCATTGGGAGTGACTCAACAAGCCATTTGCCATGCAAAATGCCTCAAAGCTATGGGAATGATTCAGAAGCAAGGAAATTGGGTGCCGTACGAATTGAAGCCGAGAGATGTTGAACGGCGTTTGTTTGCTTGTGAGCAGCTGCTTGAAAGGCAAAGACGGGAAGGGATTTCTGCATCGCATTGTGACTAAGGACGAAAAATGCGTTCATTACGATAATCCCAAGCGCAGAAAATCATGGGGAATTCCCGGCCATGCTTCCACGTCGACGGCCAAACCGAATATTCACGGCTCCAAGGTCATGCTCTGTATTTGGTGGGACCAGCTCGGCGTAGTGTATTATGAACTGTTAAAACCGACTGAAACAATCACAGGCGATCGGTATCGAACGCAATTGATGCGTTTGAGCCGAGCATTGAAAGACAAACGGCCGCAATACAACGAGAGACACGATAAAGTGATTTTGCAGCATGACAATGCTCGACCCTATGTTGCGAAAGTGATCAAGACATACTTGGAAACGTTGAAATGGGAAGTCCTACCCCACCCGCCGTATTCTCCAGACGTTGCTCCCTCTGACTATCACCTGTTTCGATCAATGGCACACGGCCTGGCTGACCAGCACTTCCGGTCTTATGAAGAAGTAAAAAATTGGATCGATTCGTGGATGGCCTCAAAAGACGACCAGTTTTTTCGACGCGGGATTCGTACGCTACCCGAAAGATGGGAGAAAGTAGTGGCCAGCGATGGACAATACTTTGAATAAATGTATAACCAGTTTTTTACAATAAAGTCTCGAATTTCGGAAAAAAAACGGCGCAAACGAAGCAAAATTGTACACTTAATACATAATTTTCCATTTTTAATAACAGAATCATGATGAGCGACCCTTAAAACTTCTAAGTACTAATTATCTTAAGAAACTTTTGCAATATATTTGATTTATGATAAGTTTTACCATGGTATAATATACTTCTCAATAAAAAATAGAGAACACTTTAGAACGCGCTCAATTACAATATTCAGAACCGTAATTCGGTGAAAAATTATTATAAACAAAAAATTAAAAACGCATTTGAAAGCTTGAAATCTCTATTTTCGAAATCGATTGATATTTCAATCTGACTGTTTCTTTACGTAGATATACGGACACAAATGGATATTCGTCAATTCTGAAAATTTTTTACAAACTTTACGAAGATCTATGGCATGAAGTAAAAATGCCATGCCATAGATCTTTATTATTATATTAGATTGAAATATCAAATTACTGATTTCGAAAATAAATATTTCAAGCCTTTAAATACTTTTTTAATTTTTTGTTTGCGATAATTTTTCACCAAGTTATGATGTTCTGAATATTGCGCAATTTTGAGTTCTAAAGTGTTCCCTGTATTTTTGTTGCGTAGTGTACATAAATAAAAATTCGACTTACAAAAGAAAGCACATATAACATTAAAAATATCTACTTTCCCTGCATTTCTAGGATATAAAACTATTTTTACTATTTCTTATGTGTGGCCCAAACATCAGATTTTTTAACATCCTCTTTTCTGCTTTAAAAAAATATTATATAAAATATTATATA